GCCACATCTGGCCAAGCTGGTTTTAGCATAATCCTGGCAGATTATAATTTAGTGTTATGGATTGTTGTCCTGAAGAATTAAGCCAACAGACATATGGCTCTATAATTATACAAGTGAATACATGCATATTGGATTTTGTCAGGGGGAGGGGGGGTCAGAGCAGACTCAGATTCATGAGACCTTCCATCTTTCTAACCACCCCAAACAACAGGCTCTTCCCAGATTCCTGGGATCAGGGAGTGTCTTCCAGGAGAATGGGGCCTGCTGGAAGGGACACTCACAGGATGCCTGGTGGGCATTTTGAACACCCAAAGGGGAGAGGGAGGAAAAGAGGGGATGAGCACAGAGAAATGCACTAGGAGGCGAGGGAGACAGATTGGGAAGGGGCCGTGCAAGCCAGGCTGGGACACATGTCCAGCCTCTGCTGGGGCAGATAACTCAGGAACTATGTAGACTTGTGTTCATTTCCATTTGTGAGAATTATACCAACTCTAACTAGCTTTGAAAGAAGTTTTCCTTGTTTTTGGGTTTGTGTGTGTGTGTGGTGTTGTTGTTGTTTTGAAAGAAAACCATAATAGGGTTGGAAGCTGAGAAAGGGGTGAGAGGAGTTTGTCAATATACCTGTCTTGTGTCTCATTCATGATGAGGTGACTGTTACGATATTGAAATGGACTAAAATGAAGGATGGCATATAAACAACTCTTCAGAGAGGACACTGGCCACTCTGCCCAGATTTCACCAGCAGCTTGGACGGGGAGAGTGAAGCCTAGGGAGTACTGATGCCAGGAGAAGGTAGGTACAGCAGCTGTGGCTAATGTCATCCTCAGGACGGCAGCATGACACGGGTGTTATCCCCACCTTACAGCTGGGGCACCTGAGGCTCCGAGCCCCACGGCACATCGCGTAACAGAGGCTAACATCTCAGACGCCAGTGACAAAGCTTTTTCATCACAACATTTATCCTTTAGGTCAAAATGTATTATAGTTTCCAGATATCAGTAGCCAGCAGATTAAATCACATTCTTTGGGGTTAATTTAGATTTATATACAAATGGGAGACAAGGCTGGCAAGGCTGGCACACACCTGCAGATATCCCGGGAAAGAGGAGGGGTGCTTGGTAGTATGGAACTTCTCCCTGGTTTAACCAGAGCTCCGTGGCCTCAGTGACTGATCCATCTTTTCTGCCTTTTTCTCCAAATCCATTTGTATCTTCTCAGTTTCCACTTGAGTGATTGGAAACTCCTTGAAGGTAATTCTTGCACTGTGTAAGCGCCATGTACTGAGAAAGGCCCCGTGAATGAGCACTGGGCCTAACTGAGTTGGATTAAAGTTGTGAGAAGGAACCAAACCCTAGCCATGGAAATGGGGTAGGATGGAGTGGGTAGGGCCAAGGGTGGGGCTGAGAAGGAGAGGATGTGAGTAGATGGATGCTAAGCTAAGTAATTAGCATGTGAAGAGTAGCTGGCTGCATTTGTTTTCTTTGAAAGGTATCTAGAAACTGCATCCATCATATTTTTTCCTTGAGAGAAAAGCAATAAGTCTGTTCCTTCGAACATAGAAGTTGGAGTGTCATTGCCCTCCTAGGAATTGAGAGCGATCAATATGCTGATTCTTCCATTATGAGGGACTGGTTGTGCTGGATTTTGGTCATCGACTGCCAATTCTTCATCCACAGCTAGGTTTACAGTTCACTGAATGCATATATAAATATATGTATTAATGAATGAATGAAAGAAACCAAAAAGGTTGGTGAGCCAAGGTTTTTTAGAGAAAGAGGGTACTTAGTAAAGACCTTGCCTAAATTCTTCATTCTACAAGTGAGGACACCAAAGCCCAGTAACAACTTAGGGGAATCAAGTCATCATTTAAACACAGAGCTGGGCTCCCAGCTCAGGCCTTCACTCTTCTACCCAGAATTATGCTTTTTCCAAATCAGCTGTACTGATAAATGACTAGCAGCACTTTTTTCTTGGCTCTGGTTTTCTCCTGGCAGATTGGCAGACAAGAACTGGGGTGGCAGAGTGAGCAATCGTGGTTAAATCTCCACTTTGTTTTGAATGTCAACCTGGGTGTGTTTGTGTTTGCCTTTCCCCTCCCTAATTATTGAGCTGGATAACTGTTTGCCTACAGTGCCCCTTGGCCACCCACTGTCCAACAGATAAATCACAGAGAAGCCCGGCTGCATATGGAGTTGCCTGGAAAGTTTACACACATGAGAAGACAGTCTCCAGGTAACATCTCTCTGACACTCTTGAGAAATGCACTTTTTCGATCTGCCTGTTTGCTTTAAGCATCCCGCTTCACTTCCTAAAAGTGCAGGGATAAAACTAGAGGTGAATGAATAGGCTCTCTGCTGCTCAGCAGCTTTGTGGCCAGGCAGGAAATGCTGTTGACTTTGAAGACGCTCCCATTAACTTTTGAATGATGCCAGCAGCCCTGTGTCCCTAGAGTCAGGGATCAAAACACAAGGATGGGCTGAACCGAGGTGACCACTTTTTTCCAGAATTTTCCTACCTCACTGCTGTGAGAAACCACTGTCCAATATGCAGATAAGTAGGAATTATGTAAATTCCATGGCAATAACAACAAAAATATCTGCATTCTCACTAATATATACGAGGGATCTTATTTTTAAAGGCAATTTCCCTTCTTAAAACACCATGGTAGAAAATAGCAATTGTTAACATTAATCAGGTGCTTGTATATGTGGCAGAAACTATGTTAAGCATCTTGCAGCACATTAGCTTACTTAATCCTCAACAATTAGTTGAAGGAGATAATATTCTTAATCCCATTTTACAAATGAATAAGCTAAGAGGTTGGGTAACTTGTGAAGAAACCAGAAGCCTATGAAATACAGTGCTGCCACCCCCAGGCACCGGGCCCTTCCTTGGTCCTGGTCCTGAACCACAGTGTTCGCCAGCCATGGGGATGACCTTCCTGCGAGTTCATATGAGTAGAGCACTTTCCAAATCACAAAGCACTTTCACATACATTGTCTCACTGGAGCCTCATAGCAACCCAGTAGGGTTAATAGGGAATTATTACGACCCTCCTTTTACAGACACAGAGAGGTTAAGTGACTTTTCCAGCATCATCCAGTGGCCTAACCAGGCCCCCAGCCCAAGTCTTCTTTGATTCTTGCCCTGTTTCTACTCTGTCTTGCTGTCCCTGCTGTCCCCATGTAATTTACTCCGAATTAAAGCAGGTTCTGAGCCTCAAATGAATAGCCCAGGCCCAGCCATCTATTCGCTGAAGTCTGTTAGATTCTCTACTCTTATCAATTAAACACGGGACAGAGGCTGAACCATATTTCTGTGTGGCCAAGTGTTGAGTTAGAGCTTAGCTGTAGCAACAGAGCTTCTCTGAGGCAAATAGAAGCTCCAGCTCCTTTCTGTTGACTGGAAGCCTCACTTCCCATATGCCATTGCCACTTTGCCCATTGAAACTGTAGAAAGTTTTTTGTTTTTTTTAAAAAATATGTGTTTTCATTGATTTCAGAGAGAGGAAGGGAGAGGGAGAGAGATACATAGAAACATCAATTATGAGAGAGAGTCATCGATCGGCTGCCTCCTGCACACCTCCTACTGGGGATCGATCCCACAACTCGGGCATGTGCCCTGATGGGAAATTGAACTGTGACCTCCTGGTTCATGGATCTACGCTCAACCACTGAGCCACACCAGCGGGGCATAAACTGTAGAAAGTTTAATTTAGAACTATATTGTGCCATATTTTAATAAAATGTAAATGGTTAGCTTATGAGATCCTTAACCGGAGCTGGCAGCTATTAGTTTATATTTCTATAGGACAGGATCAATTCCTACAGAATTTATATTCCATGTGTGGATCAGAACCTCAAATATATGAGATTATACATTTAATATACTTGTTTTGAAAATGAGAATTTAAGAGATTATCAATTGCCCATGAGTCACCAAATTCCAAAGGTGATTCACAGGCAATTCATAGGCAGGAAAGGAGCTTGGGGATTATTTTAGCGAAATCCCTTCCTTTGCGAAACAAAGGCCTGAAGCTCAAATTCGTAAGTTCTTCAAGGTCATGTAGCTAATTAGCAGAAGGGGGAATTAGAACCCAGATTCTGGGTTTCAAGTTTCTAGAACTTCGCTCTCCATGTGCTAGTTGGAAAATGACAGAGAAGCCCCCTCTTGGTTGCTGTGAGGGTGAACTTTCTACAGGGGGCGCTTCCTGAAGCATTTTCCCACAGAGTGTGGGGTAGAAGTGGGCCAATCAGCTTCCTCCCCTTTTATATCACCTGGAAATTGAAACTAATCATCAGATTGACCAAAGGAATGGGCCCAATTCTCTGTAATTCTTCCTGAGCCTCGGGGGTCTTGACATGAGACCATGAAGCTATTTTTGTTCACCATCCAGAGGGTCCCCACTGAGTATTTTATCTCTTGGCACCTGGCACCTGGCACCAGCTGCCTCGATTTTGCCTGCCACCAAGCAAAAACTCGACTTCCCATGCATCGTCGCTGTTTATTTTGGGGCAGCATGGATCTTTCATGGGCTTTTGAGGTCCTTGTTGCACTGGCGTGGAGCGGAGACAGCTCGCTGCTCGCACACACAGGGGTATTGACCTGTCCCTTGCCGTCGGGGGGGTCTCGTCTCGTGGCTGTCCCCGCCCCACCCGCATCAGCAAGTCCTCATGCGCACATTCAGCCGGTCTCGGAGGACTCATTGTCTTCTCCGTTTTGTTCCTTTCTCTTTCTGCCAGTGTCCGCCCTGTTCTGGTAACCATGGCAATAGGTGAAATACAATCCCAATATTTGCTCACCGCCTCTGTCATCCAGCCCAGCACGCGCATTGCCGTGTCTTGTTTTTGTGTTTGTTTAATGTTCCCAAGCCTGAAGTCAGATGCACCCGGGCGAGGACACGGCGCACGGCCTGGCTCGGAGCAGCCCCGCAGACAGCTCTGGGGCGCGTCTGTGTGTGCGTGTGTGTGTATGTGTGTGCGTGTGTGTGTGTGTACGTGCATGCGAGCGTGTCCCCGTCTGCTCTGGAACACTGTGCAAATAAGTTCAGCTTGTGTCAGAACAGGCAGGAGAGAAAAAGACATCTCACAAATCTAGTTACAGGCAAGTTCTACTTTGGAGAGGTATATTTGGGTCTTTTTTCTTGGAATTTGTGTAGCTTACACTTTCCAAGATTTTTGCCAGCACAACTGGTAATGAAAGTTTGCTTTGCACTTGGGGATGATGGCTCTGCCTCGATTTGTTTTTTCATGTGGGAAATACAGAAGATCTGTCAGAAAATCTGTGCCTTGAGGGGGATGGAAGGTGGGACAGATAGAGGAGGCAGAGTTTTCCTAACGATTTGGATTTTTTTCCTTAAGAAATAAAAGGGAAAATTCAATCTTCAAGTCCAAAACTAAGAAAGAATATCTTTTCCCTTGGTATCCTTTTAAAATTGTCTTCTTTTTTTTTTAATCCCCTGTTAGTTTGAAAAGCTGGTTTGTGCATTTGCCTTAGTATGAATGAGATGAATCATTAGATTCTCAGAAGAGCTAAGCCCTGAACAATAAAAGTAAACATCAAGCATTTTTATTTCGAAACAGTATTTGCAGTCACCAGAAAATATGTGTTTCAGGAAGACAAGCTTGTCATGCAACTGTGGCCTTGAATCCTAGAGATTGAAAATGCAACCAGAGAGGCAAGGCGGTAACCTGATTTCAGTCTGGAGCCAGGATCTCGGTTCAAGAGCGAGCAGGAGCGCACTCGGGTAGAGTTTCAGGGCTGGCAGCTGCCCACTAGCACCCTTTCCTGGGATGTCTTCTTCCCTCCTGGCATCTCCACAGGGGAATGTGCCCGTGTTTCCGTGGCACTTTAGGCTTCAGTCCGGCCCTGTGTCGCTTGCAGCCCCTTCTGTCCCACTCAGCTCTGCACACCACGGTCACGGTCACTCTCAGACGCCCCCCCTGGAGCCTGGCATCTTCCCGAGGGCTTCTTGCTCTCCGGCTGCCTGGCCTGTCCTATCGGGTTTCCTTTGCCTCTGCAAACTACACTCCTTTGTGTCAAGACTCAGCTCAAGTGCACCTCTCCTGTGAAGCCCTGTCGGCCTTCCCCGTTCGACAGGAGCCGTGCCCTCTGCCAGGCAGACTCCCCTTGCAGCTTTCCTACATGCCATCGTCTGTGTGTCTGCCTCCCTGCCAGCCTGTGTGCCCCTGGAAGACAGAGGCCAATTTCATTCAGCTTCATGTCCCCAGGTTGGTTCTCTCCAGCACATTCTATGAGCCTGAGAAATGTTTGATAGAAGGAAGGAAAGTTTGACAAATTTATTTAGATGGAGATGTTACTGGGACTTAGTATGTCCCCCCACACTGTGGGCTTTTGTTTTCTTTTGAAGTTCCAGGGACAAGGTAGAACCTAAGACAGATGATTGAGTCACCAATGGTAGAATTTCAGGACCCATGGCAAGTGGGTGGGAGAGAGATTTGAGCAGGTGAGAATCCTTCACACGATTCCCCAAATCCCTGCACTGGCCCCCGAGGGCGCTGCCGGCCAGGCCAAGTGCAGCTCTGCAGAGGAGCCCTGCAGGGCACCTCGGGGCCTGTGGCGCCACCTGAAGTTGAGGTGGTTTTACATGAAGGTGATTCGATCCTTCAGTATTGAAATCCCCTTGGTGCAGGCCCAAGACTATAGTCTTTTTTAAACCTACATAAATTCAGGATTCCACTGTAGTTTTGGTTCAAAGTTAATATACAGTGGGCCCTTGAACAAGGCAGGGGTTAGGGGTGCCGACCCCCGCAGGCAGTTGAAAATCCGCATGTAACTAAGTTGGCCTCCCCACGGCGGATTCCGGACGCCATGGAGAACTGTTTCAGCCGGGGGTGTTGAACTCGGGGATGCAAAACCCAGGGATATGGACAGTTGGCTTATATTTATTGAAAAAATGTGTCTAAGTGGACCCGCACAATTCAAACTTGTGATGTTCAAGGAACAACTGTATAGTCACAGAATTTGGGGATATGTTAAAACGAAAATATTCCTTGTCTTTTTTTTTTTTCCTGCTCATATATGTAATATATCAAACAAGTTTATACTAAATATACAGTTTATATCCTGCTTTTTAAAAATTTCATGTGATATTATGAGCATTTTCTTATATCATTAATTATATAACTCATCCTGTGGGTGTCACATAAAAAATTTAACTGTTTTTTATTTATATTTCTTGATATTTAGATTTTCTCTACTAAAAATTGCCCATTGATTATAAAAATAAACAGTAAAACTGATCCAAAATTATTTAATTACATCTTTGCCTATTTCCTGTAGGACAGAGTCCCAAAATTAGAATTACCAGTTCAAAGGGAGTAAACATTTTAAAGATTTTGTATATATGCTGCCAAATTTCTTCAGACTTACACTAATTTTCATTCCTGCCTATAATATCGAAGGATAGCTATCTTATAGCATTTCCAGAAGTATTAAGGCGTATAATTTTTTAACAAAGTCTGCCAGTTTTTGTTTGCATTTCTTACACTGAGGGTAATGAGCACATATTTTTTCTATATTTCTTGACCACTTAATTTTTTTCTTTGATACATTTCTGTACTTTAGGGCAATTTTTCTTCATTGGGGTTGGGATTGGAATCTGAGGAAGAAATGATAAGAGCAGGTTGTCCCCCTTCTACTGCATTTTTCAAATTCTTATTAATTAGCCGGCTTTACTACCTTACTTTACAAATTTTGCATTTGTTTCTAAGACTAACACATACCTTAAAATAATTTAGGTTTTTAGTATTTTGTTTTATTTTGTTTACATAACTTTCACTTAGAAGCACAGTGTTTTGAGGGTTTTTAAAAAAATCTTCTTAAGCCTTCTGATTTTTATAGTTATTCAACTTATTCACTTCCAAAATATTAGCTTCTCTAGGAATATAAATGTGGCTGCTCCACATTTTCTGTGTTTATCTAACCCAGCCTTTGTTTATTTAAATATATACCTGAGTATCTTAAATAAGCTGCAGATATGGTTGTGTCTTCTGCAACTGCCTGCGGTAGGATTTATATGGATCCTGCTCTCGTCCCATTTATGAGAAATCGACCTCTGACTGTTTTTATGTCACCAGTCACTATGTAAGTATATGGACTTATATTGATTAACCTTATCATTACTGGTGGTTAAATGGTGCTGAGTCCATTCTCCAGCAAGGAAGTTAAACAGGAAACATAAAACAGCTTAAGTCCCATGGGGTGAAGTTGTTGTTAATGTGCTGTTGAGTTGGCTCCGACTGCTGGCGACCCGATGCTTGACCGATGTCACAGTGTCCTGTTTCCAACAGGCCTGCTCAGCTCTGCAGGCTCACGCCCATGGCTTCTTTGACGGAGTCAACCCATCTCATATTTGGTCTTCCTCTTTTCCTTCTGTCTTCTATTTTGCCAGCATTATTGCCTGCCCTAAAGAAACCTGCTTTCTCATGATGTGTCATGAATGGAGCATTATTTTCAGGTCCAGTGAGCCTTCTGTTAACTGTAACCTCCTTACTAGTATCTAGGCTCCCTGAGGGGAGGGATCTGAATCTTAGCACACAGTAAACACACAATATCTCTGCCAAATAGATGAATGTGAGTAGTTCATTGTATGATAATATCAAGCATGCGCTGAGTGCAGATCATGCGCCGGTTGCCCTGTGATTTCCATGTAGCGGAGACGCAGTGAGGAGCTGCACTAACGTACTTAGACTGGGCACTTGCATGTATTATTTATTTAATCCTCTCAGCTGTCCTGTGAGGTCAGTGTCCCTGTGTTTACAGGCAAGTAAACTGATGTACAGAGGATAGCACCCAAGAGCACTCAGCCAGCAAATGGCAGGCCCACAATTTGAACCCAGCTTTGGGATCTGACCCTTCCATGCTGGGTCTTGGCTTTGGCGACCTAAAACCATCATGATGACTGGGTTCTGGCAGGAGTGGAAGCATGAAAGCGGTGACAACTAATGGGCAAATATTTATTATTAGAGTCAGCTCTGCGCTAGGCCTCCTTTCTATCAAACACTAGGCCCCTGACATCCCTGAGGGTTTTGCCTGGTGGTGTTGTGAACCCCCAAAGCCATGCATGTGGTACATCATTTCCCTGCACCCAGGACAGCAAACAGAGAACAAAACCAAGTTGCACTCCTGACCCTAGATGGAGGGCTGGAGTGACTGTCGTATTCCCTCCCGGAGCTGAGCGCCAAATGTGGCTCAGATCTGTGTCCAGCAGAGTTCAAATCACATTACATCATGAACTTTGAGGGTTATTGTTTAATATTGGAAACATTGACTATTTAATTGGAAAATACCAAGACTCTGTGTCTTTAAGAAAAATATTAATAACGATTGCTCGCTTGTATTTTAAGATATACAAAACATTTGCCCACCTTTCACGTAGACTATCAGGTTAACCTCTTACGGGAGCCATAGCTGTCAAAAGGAATTAAGAACAAGCTGGGGTGGTTTGGTTTGGTTTGGTTCTTGTTTTAAACATTGAATTTGTTGGGATAATGCTGGTTAATAGAATTATATAGGTTTCAGGTGTGCAATTCTATAACACATCATCTGTGTACTGTATTGTGTGTTTACCACCCCAGTCAAGTCCAGTGGTGGAAGGAGACTTGTTTTGTCCTTATGAGAAGCAGAATAAGGCCCTGAGGACAGCGAGCCGGGAAGCAGACTGCCTGGCTTCTAATGCTAACTGCGGGACCCGGCTGCTCAGCCTCTGCTCCTCTCTTCCGCATCTGTAAAATGGGCATCACGGTGGGGCCTCTCTTAAAGGGTCATCTTGAAGATTAAGTGAGGTTATAATAAGGAAATCATTTGGCATAGTACCTGGCTCTCTCTATGTATTTTTTAAATTTTTGTCCTTTAAAGTATACTTCTCTTTATTTTATTGATTTAACTCATGATGTCTAAAACATACTTGTATGGATGTAAAGTACAGCCTAGGGAATATAATAAATAATATTTAGTAACTCTGTATGGTGACAGATGGGTACTAGACTTAGAGTGGTGATCACGTCGTAAGGATTTAAAAGTTGGATCACTATGTTGTACACCTAAAACTAATGTAATATTGTGTGGCAACTATACTTCAATTAGAAAGAACTTGGACAAAGTTCCTAGCCTCACAGAAGAGAAAACTGAGACCAAGAGAGATTAAGTGCCTCACCTTTGATCATTCAGCGAAGTGGTGGCAACAGTTTTAGAATCCCACTCCTACTTTTGATTAATGCACCAAATTCCTGTGCCCTTTATAGAGACTTGGGTATAGAAGCCCATGGGAGTTATACAGCTGTTGCTTTGAATTCATCAATTCATTGAAATATGCAAAAATAGAAATGACTTTTAAAAGTTTTTAAGTAGTTAAAAACTCATTTTAAAAATAAGAGTTCAGTGCAGCATATTATAGAATTTCAAATATTTGTTATCGTTTTACAGTTTGTTAGTTCACAAACATATAAATGTGAAAACATTTTATAACATTAAATGTTTCAATGTCAAAAATCAGGGCTAAAATTACACAAAAGACCAAAGGCTCACCAAGGAATATATATTAAATTCCATGGCCTAAAATAGACTTTTACTATGTCTGTACAAATTACTTTAAATTATACAAATATTTGGACTATGTCTGGCCATGAGACTCAACTATGTACCCTGAAATGACACGAGCAGTACCATGCCAACATTTGGCATTTATTTTTTTCCAAAACACCCAGGATCATTATTAATTTCAATGAGAGTTTCCCTTATGCTCGGCAAGTGGGCTTGGAAGACATGCTGGTGAAGGAGGGAAAGAGCTCCCCAGGACCTTGGATGGAGGTGGTTGTCTCTGGGACACGGTAAAGAAGGCTCTTTGCCAACATACCCTTTGGAACAACCATACCCGTGATAACAGAGTGTGAAGACCTAATTATTTTCAAATCTGATGAATGAGTTCAGCTGTTCTGTCGACCAGTATGGGGTATGTGAGAACATGGGATCACAGCAAAAGCATGTTTATCTCACTCCATCATTGCAGTGAACTTTATCTCCTGGGAATTTTCTTAAGGAGCAAGTCTGGACAGAGTCAAAGTTTAATGAACAGGGGTCTATAAGTGAGTTGTTGCTAAGTCCCAGTTATGCCAAGATAGGGCCTGCATTTGTAAAGAAAGATAAGCTAAAGAGCCATGCATGCTCCTTAGGCGAAGATAATTTGTCACATTGCCACCACTAATCTATTAGTTCCCAATCACTTGGTTCCAAGAGATCTGTTCTGTAGATTTATTACATATGAAGAAATGTCTCTCCCAGTTCACCGAGCCATCAGTCCATTTATTCACCCTTTCATTCAGAAATTCTTTATCAAGCATCTCTAAAATGTTATACTTGGTTTTGGGAGATAAAGCTGTGCATAACCCAAGCCTTTAGCAACTTACAGGCCAGTGAAGGAATCAGTTAAATAAACAGACAACTAAGTGTGTTGTGATCAATGTTATGATAAAGACAAATACAAAACATGTGTCTAAGCTGCCTTTACAGTGATGCTGATGAGACCTACTTGTGGCCAGTTAAATTTTGGTTCTTTAACAAAAAATGCACTTTAACACTCAGTTCTGAGTTGCATTAGCCACATTTTGAACGCTCAATAGCCACGTGGGGCCAGTGGCAACCATATTGGACAGCAGAGATAAGAAGCATTTCCATCATCATCGCACTGGGCTAAGAAGATTGGAAGGATGGGAGGGGAGGGCTTTCCATGGAAAATAAGCAGAGTGAGCCAATGCCTGGAGATGCTGGGGGGGGAAATCCATTAAAAGTTAGCTTAATAATTTATTTTTTAAATATATGTTTGGATGTATGTATTCAAGAAGCATTTATTGTTTATGCTACAGCTGTGGATTGTGCAAAAGAGCATGAGACATAGTATCAGCCTCTAAATAATTTACATTTATATGGGCAAGGTAAGAGTATAAAAAGCTACCAGGAAACTGTATTTCGAGTGTGGAGGAGAGCCTAACTATTGGGTATTGGGAAGGGAATCAATTGTAGGATCAGGCCAATCTTCAGTCTTCATGAAGTTGTTGCTTTTGATCTGGGTCTTGAGCTGTTAGGATGCAGGCAAGGAGGTGGAGTTAAATCCCTTACGTTGGTTAAAAAAAAATTTAAGTTTCACAAAGTTCTTCCAGAGTTAGGGTCCAGCAAGCAACTGAGAAGCTGAGGGCTCTCCCCACTGGCACGTTCATTAATGTCTTTCTCCTAAGACTGGCGTTGATACAATGGGGAGCTTATTTGGCTGTGCCAACTTACATGGAATAGCCTCCTTTCTAAACGGTGTTAGCGTGGATTAGTTGAGGGAAGCTTGAGCCAGATCTTGTTTGCCTTAGGTGGCTGAGAAAAGGGTTGGGGAGGGGGCTGTTAAGGATTATGTAAATCACTGGCTGATAAATGGGCTGGAAACTGGAGACTTGTGTAAAAGCAGCGTTTACACGCCAAGAGGTGAGGGAAGTTGAAGCAGTTCTAGGCGAACTGTGGGGCAGATGACTTAGGCAGATCCAATGAAAATATCAGTAAATGACCTTATACATACGTGACTTTCATTCTCTGAAATGTACAATCAGATCTCATGAGACTTCTCCTTGGCCATTTATTCTCTGAAGTTACAGATAGTGACACTCCCTTTTCTGTTTGGTA